CATCATCTTCATCATTCTTTAGCACTTCTTCACTTGGACCATCTCCAAGTTGCTCCTTATCACCATTCCCTTGAAATTCTATACTTCCCCAACTTGGTGTCTCCATCTCAATGCACTCATCATAAACCTCGTCATCTTCATCTTTATCTCCAAGGTCCTCACCCTCCTTTACATTTCCATCAACCACATGACCTTCATTTGGAAAGAGCAACTCTTGTAGAACATCTACATTGGAAGACAATTCTTGAACGGGTTCTTGAGTTGTCAAACCTTGTATTTGAGCCATCATGTTGTCTAGTAGAACTTGTTGCTCATTTATTTGCTTAAACATGTTGGCCATCATAAACTTCATCTCCGGATCTTGATCAAATGGTTTGAATTCTTGTTGAGGTTCTTGATAGAGTGGTTCTTGATGTCCCCATTGATTATTGGCATATTCATCATCACTTGGTCTCATGTGATAGCCCTCATCGTCAATGCCATCATCGTGTACAATAGTGACTCCCCAACGCCTAGCCAATGCCAAGGTCTCCTCATCTACTCCAAACTTCCCAACACTTGGTGAATGAATGTGATGAACATATGAGGGTTGAGTGTCTTGGGGGTATGGTGTGTAATGAATGGGTGAAGGGTATGGATTTGGAGAGTAATCTTGTGGTGGGAAAAGATGTTGAGGTGGATTGTAGTCTTGTGAACATTGAGGGTATTGATCATAAAAAGCATATTGGGGATCTTGGTATTGTTGAGGATATGGATGATGGTATGGAGGTTGGGAATGACAAGCTAAGTCTTGGTAGGATTGTGGTAGGAAAGGATCTTTGAAATTGAGCATCATGATAGCTATTTGGAGGTGGGGCTTGAGGTGTACAAGGATTAACGGATGGAACATTATAGTATCCATGTCGAGGCATGTAGTCTCCAAAGCCTCCATAAGATTGAGAGTTGTAATATCCTCCTTGATCCATCTTGAAAAATTTCTTTCAATCAAACCAAATAAAGTAAACTTGAAAAGAAAAAATAAGCAAATAAAAACAAAACTTAGTCTCCTAAGATTTCCAAAACTCTAATGCTAGTAAAACAAGCAATCGTATAGAACCACCAAATTACCAATCCCCGGCAAGGGCGCCAATTTTTGATGTTGCAAAAATAAGATGTGAGCTCGGGTGTTTTATGTCGTCCTCAGGGGATTGGAATTTATGGCAAGCAATACGCAATCACAAGCAACTAGGCACTAGCATAAGGAAATCAACAAGAAGCTAAGCAAATAAAAACAAGTTTCAAGGTTACGGTAACTAAACAAAGTAACAAAACACATATTAACAAGACATAAACACGAAATAATGAAATGGGACTCAAGCTAGTGAGCATTATCTTCTAGATGCATAGCACAACCTAAATATTGGGGAAAATCACACTACTAAGGAATAGAGGGGATGCACGTAGGAATCCTAGTCTATAAGTCACTCATGTGAGCATATTAACATGATTAGAACAAGGAATTGCCCCACTCTCGTGGTGAATCAACTCCAAGTTCTTCAAGAACACAAAGCACCAATAACCCCCAATTTCCCCTATTTTCATAGGAAGAGATTGGGTTTATGCAAGGAGTGGCTTTGAAGCTTTACCCAACTCTCATTGAGGCCAAGAATCCTCCCAAACATGTTAATGAATGTTGTACACCAAGCATTAACAAAATACAAACACAAAATCTTCATAAATTCAAGAACCCTAGGTTAGTGTTCTTCCCCCTTTTTGCAATAATCACAAATCAAGCATCAAGATAGATAATACAACCCTAACTCAAGTCCATAAACTAACTAATCATGATTAAATAGCATAAAGAACACAAAAGCATAAGTAACAAACATAAATCTTGCAAAAGAAAGAGATAAAAGGAAGTAAGAACTTATGTATTGAAAACGGAAGAACAATCTTCAAATGTTGGAATCCAAGTTTCAAATCCAAGATTACAAGCTTCAAAAGTGTTAAGAAACATAAATCTAAGCCTAATCTAACCTAAAAATATGAAGGAAAGTAAATGAGAGTGTCTAGGGTTCTAACAAGAGTCAAAACCATGTAGAAATGAGAGAAAACGGGGTCAAAAAGAGGCAGAGCAGGTTGGGACGGCCTCTTGGATGGGCGTATGCTAGGGGGTACGATTTTTGGTGCATTTCCAGTGAAAACTGGATCAGGGAGAAGAGATGCGTACTGGCATGCGTACGTGCGTACGGCAAGGCGTACGAGGCTCCTGGAAACAGAATTTTGTGCACTTGTCTTGACTTCTAGGCTCTTTTCTCCTCTAAAACCATTTTATTGGCACTTATGTTCTTCAACGAAGTTGTATCCCTTTAAGTTGGCTTTCCAATATTGCAAGAATCACTCCATTTGGACATTCCTAGGCCGAGATATAGTAAAAAAAACCGAACAGTGTCCGAAATGAGCGAAAATTACAATGTCTTGATCTTTTGCTCCTCTTTTGTTTTGGTTTGCCCAAATGACTAAGACCATTGAATACACCACTCTTACGCTCCCTTGGAAGTATTTTTTCAATCCTCTTAACTTCTCATTGGCTCCCATGGACTCCTAATGCATCCAAAATGCTCCATTTAACTTCAATGTCCACCAAAATGCCTGAAAATACTCATCTTTGTTTCCAAACAAAACTCCTAGCAAAATAACACAATTTAATCATAATCTCACAAAATTTGGAATGATCTATAAGCAAAATGGCTTAGTGAAAGGGAGGAAAATATAGACAAATAAGCACTTATCAACGGGCCTAGCCAACGGTCCTCGAGGGAGGCCGTTAGCCAGCCCCGTGGTTAGTCGGCTCTAGGGGGCGGTCCTAGGAGAGGGCTGTTGCCCTAAACCGTGCAAATGACGGGCCAAGGGGCAAGACGCGTCAAGTCCCGCCAAGAGCTCCGTTAAGTACTGTGCAGTGGCCGGGCCCTTGTGGCTCAGCTACGTGTCGTTTTAGACCAGGAGTCGCGGGTCCTTATGGCTCGAAACCTCGGGACCGTCTTGACGCACATTTAGACTTTGATTGCGTTGTTTTTTGTGAAGATTTGAGCCTTTTATGATAGATTTTGTGGAGATAATTGTTGCAAATTGTAGTTTGAGTTATTTACAGTGAATGAGAATGTTGAAGTATCAGACCTTGATTATCTATTTGATGAGCATGTTTTTATTTGACTGTTAAAATGAGAAGCATGAACACTATTTTATAAGTTTTGTTAGAAAAGCATGCTTAAAGTGTATATTATGATTCATTGAGATTATTGCCAAGTTCCTAAATATTGAAGTGTACAGAGCATGTCTATCTTGAGTATTATTATACAGAGAACGAGTCTAAGTTGAGTAATTTGAGTCCCAAGTGCATGATAAATACTTGCTAAGTGTTTGATGAGAAGATTTGTCAAGTTATGATTTACAAGCATGGTTTAAGTGTTCTATGAGAGTTCACAATAAATGGGAATTGAAGCATGTTTACAGTACATAGCATTTTGAGCATATCATGTTTTAAAAGTGCATAAGTGGCCAACGTGAGCCTAAGTATTATTTTCCAAAAACTCATCCATTTTGGAAAGTCATTATCTTGTCATATTGAGAAGTTATGTGCATATTTGCATAAGTAAAGTGTTGTATGATTTGAGTTGCATGAGTTATATCTATGTGTATCTATTGTGAGGAAAAACTTGTTTTGGAGGACCGTTAGGACTATGTCCTTTCAGAAGAAAAGAGAAAGAAACGGACATTGCGATCTGATGTGAAGTAACAAGGTCGATATTCCCACGTTACTAGGTTGGAAACTTCCCGCCAGGCTTGGAATCCTGGTCAGGGGGTGTGCACACTGATAGTTTGATACCTGATTCCACAGAGTCTGAGATTTGGAACCACGAGATTGATTCTGTGGGCGGGATGAAAGATTGGCCGGCTAGACACCGAGCCCAATAGGTTCATTCACATCATGGTGAAGTCCTGCCTTGCCCACGAGTATAAAGAAAGCGAGTCATTGCGACTCTAAGAAAGCGAGTCATTGAGACTCTAAGAAAAGAAGAGCAAAGCGAGTCATTTCGACTCTAAGAAACCTCCACAGAAAAAGTATTATTTTTACAAAAGAGTGTATATGTATATCTATCTATACTTATACTATAGCATCATATTGTATGACTATATGCCTTGCACGAGATTGCATGATTAGTAGTTGATAGCATGAGATTGCTTATGAGTTATATTCCTTGCACGAGATTGCATGATTAGTAGTTGATAGCATGAGATTGCTTATGAGTTATATGCCTTGCACGAGATTTCATGATTAGTAGTTGATAGCATGAGATTGCTTATGAGTTATATGCCTTTCACGAGATTGCATGATTAGTAGTTGATAGCATGAGATTGCTTATGATTATATGTCTTGCACGAGATTGCATGTTTAGTAGCATGAGATTGCTTATGAGTTATTTGATAGCATGAGATTGCCTATGAGATATTTGATAGCATGAGATTGCTTATTTGGTTATATGAGAGAGCATGAGATTGTTGAGTACTTGAGAAAGCTTTAGATTGGTTTACAAGTTTTGAGACTGTGATGAGTTATTTGTTGTATAAGCATGCCTATTCGTTAATTAGGTTGCAAGCATCTAGAAGTTAATGCCAAAGTATGGTTTAAGTGATTAAGTTGTTAATGTAAGAATGTGAAACTACTGTTTTCCAAAAGTATATATTGTATTACTTTACAGGGTTGAGTGACGTTATACTTAGCCTCGTGCTAACGGGTTTGTTTGCTACTTGTTGTTTGTTAACCCCTGTCAGGTGGGCCCAGTTCGTGAGAGGGTACGAGATAGACTAGATTAGCTTAGATAGCTTTCGTAGTCTAAAACTCTTAATTTGTTTTTGGGTTTGTAATTGTCTAACCCTGTTTTGATGGTGCTGGACACCGGGGTTTTATCCCCTAGTTTGTTGGGTTGCTAGTAAGACTTTAATGTTTAGTTTTAGTTTCCTTTTGTAGCCTGTGCAGTCACCGTGGGCGGTGACACCTCTTTAAGCGTTTTTAGTTGTTTTAATCCGCTGCCTTAGTTTATCTTTCAAGTTTTAGTTTGGTAATGAAGTTTAAGAAAAGTCGAGTGTTACAAGTTGGTATCAGAGCGGTACGAACCGCGGGAGACTTAGGAAGTTTGACCCATAGGATTGAGTATAGAAACTCTAAGTAAAAGTCCTAGGAAGGACAAGTTAAGGAAAGACCACTAAGTTGAAGTCCTTGAAAGGACAAGTTAAGAAGAGAACTCTAAGTGAAATCCTAGGAAGGATAAGATTAGGGAAAGAGCCCTAAGTTATGAAATTTGAGATGAGAAAGACTCTAAGTTCAGTGACTAAGTATGAGAAACAGAGTTAAGAAGAACTCTAAGTAACAATTAGGAACGCGGTGAGGTTGTGAGTTTTCTTTGCGTTTGTTTAACTGTTTATGTGCTTTATCAATGTGTTTAAAGTGTTTTTGTTTATCTTTGAAAGTAAAGTAGAGAAGTTTAAAAGTGAGAAGTTGAAGGAGAAAAACCAAGAGTTTGAAAGTTGAAAGTAGGAGTGAAAGTTAAGAAAGCTAGAAGTTAGACTGTGAAAGAAAAACCTTGTGAGGTTGCTAAAAGTAAGAAGCATACGAGTTTATGCTTACGTGTGTTTGTTGTGCTTTGCTTGTTGTAAGCCTTGCTCTAAGAATATAGAAGTTAGTTGAAGTTAACCCTTAGTTGTGCTAACAAGAATGATCTGTTCTGATCATGTTAAAGGACCGCCGCAATACCACCGCGAAGAGTTAGGGAAGTGACTCCCCGTTTCTCAGGACCCGGAGCATCGTCTTCCACCCACCTGACTGAGAGCCTACGCCAGCTCACGCAGTTGACTCAGACTATCGGAGCCGCAGTGCTTAATGGGAACAATAGTGGCGGGGATGTGTCTAGGAAGATCACGAGACGCAATCCACCGAGTTATTTGGGCCAAGAGGACCCGGAGATCCTTGAGAGTTGGATCCGCACGTTCGACAAGCTATTCGACGTAGTAGGTTGTCCAGTAGATCAACGAGTAAAGGCTGCCGTGTACTACCTTTAAGGAGAAGCTGACCACTGGTGGGTAATGGAGGGACCGACTATCAAGGAAAAAGAAGGATTTGATTGGGAGATGTTCAAGACAGTAATGAGAGAGAGGTTCTATCCGGAGCATGTCAAGACTGCAAAATATGAGGAGTTCCTGCATCTAGAGCAAGGAAGTTTGACAGTTCAGGAATATCACGCCCGCTTTGTGGCGTTGTCTCGATTTGCTCCCACCTTGGCACTTGATGAAGTTAGTAAGGCTCGGAAGTTTGCCCGAGGACTGCATTATGATGCACAGAGATTGTTCTCCGCGACGAAGTTTGCCACGTTAACTGAGGCTTACGACGCAACTGCTGGTCACTCCAAGATTCAGCAACTCCATCGAGATGCCATGCATGGATCGAGGAAGAAGAATGAGGGTATGGACTTCCAGTCAAGTAAGGAGCATAGGTTCAACCCTACAGGCAGAAATGACAACCGAAGTGGGGAAAGGAAGAATCTAGTGATGAGACAGGGAGTTGGAGCTGGAGGATCATCTAGTGAGAGGAACAAGGTTTGCACGAGGTGCGGCAAGGATCACCCTAAGACCACGTGTGGAGGAGCTACCATGACTTAGTTCCAGTGCGGGAGGCTGGGTCATAGTGCTGCAGTCTGTTAGTATCCGAAGACGGAGCAATCCCAAGGTACGACCCCGAGCCAGCCGTCTAGAGGCCCAACCAGTCAGGCACCAAACCGGGGGATGGGTCGTGGGAATCAGTCGAGAGGAGGTCCGCACAGAAATGGCAACTATAGACGAGGAGAGGCTCAGCAGGGACGTTCGGGAGGAGTCGGACCTAGGAGGATTATGGTCATGGAACAGACATAGGCTGGAGGGCACGGTCTTGAAAAAGGTAACACTCTAACTAGAAAATAAGTGTTATTGGTTTTTGCTTTGTATTTGTTGACCTTGTGTGCTTGAAAAAGTTTGGTGCGATTTTGTGTTTGGTTTGAGGCTTGAAGATTAAAGTGTTGCTTAGAAATATTTTTGCAAAAGTATAAACAAGAGTACCGAGAATAAGAAGTGAAACTTTTAGGAACAAGTTAATAAAAAGGAAAAAGCGAAAATCGTTAGAGAACGATTAAAGTTTAAAGTAGAAGAGATAATTCTGAAAGTAGCGTTTAATTCCCAAGTAAGGTAAGAACGGAAGGAGTTTATCTTCGTTAAGAAAGAATTAGACAAAAATCTAATTCGAGTTCATGTTGGATCAAGCAATCTCGAAAAGGAATTGAAAAGTTAAATGATTGACTAAGAAATTGGGATTTTATAAAGTCAAGGACTACATCAATTTTGATCTCAATTGAAATTTGGACAAAGTCAGAGGACCAAAGGGATTTGGGGCCGGATTGGACCCGACCCCTCTACCCGACCTGTAGGCGGGTCTAGCCTACGGAGAACAACGGACCCCGTTCCGTTGGACGGAACGTGGTCACGGGCCATGTAATAGCCTGTGACCTGGGGCCGTGTCAGGGCACACTGACACCAGTCCTCGAACCGGGGCCCAAGGGGAGCCGTTCACCCTAAGCTCTTTTCCAGAATCTCCCCAAATCAGAATTTTGCAATCATCTTTCTCTCCTTCCCTTTGGCGTAGCTTTCTGCCTCAACTCCAACAAAAATCTTTCTTCATCAAATCACCCTAGTTCTTCCAAGAAAGTTCAAGAGTTCATCCTACAAGCTATTCCAAGCACAAGAAAAATATTAGTGGAGTCATCTACCTCATCCTAACAAGTTCAAAGCAAGAAGTTGGATAGCAATGGCAAAAGGAAAGAAGCAAGTGGAAGAAACTAGCCATGAAGGTTCCAACTATTCGGTCATTGGAGGTAAAACTTATTTTCCTGAGCACTTTTCTGAAGGTTTTAATCGAATGTTAGAAAGTTGAGGATTATTGAGGAAATTTTTAAGGATTCAGGAGGAAATTTATCTGGATTTAGTTATTGAATTCTATGAGAACCAGTCTACCAAGCAGAAGAAGGGAGTCACAAAGGTTACCTCTAATGTGAGAGGTACTAAGATAGAATTGACACCACAGAAGTTGGCTAGTTGGTTTGATTTGCCGTTGAGTGGGGTAGATACATATGATCGGGATGATTAGATTTCCCATTAATATCTGAGATATATGACAGGTAGTAGGGAAGAGTTCCCTAAGGAATATAGACCTGAAAAGTCCGCGAGTCATTGAGACTCTAAGAAAGCGAGTCATTGAGACTCTAAGAAAAGAAGAGCAAAACGAGTCATTGCGACTCTAAGAAACCTCCACAGAAAAAGTATTCTTTTTACAAAAGAGTGTATATGTATATCTATCCATACTTATACTATATCATCATATTGTATGCCTATATGCCTTGCATGAGATTGCATGATTAGTAGTTGATAGCATGCGATTGTTTATGAGTTATATGTCTTGCACGAGATTGCATGATTAGTAGTTGATAGCAAAATATAAAAAATGGAGGAAGTGCGTGATGTAAAATGTTTACAATTAATGCAATATTTCATGAAATAGTACTTTAAAATGATATAAGATATTTTCCACCAAAATTTAGATTCAAAAAAATGTAATCATTATCTTTTAGCATGCTTGTTTTTATTGTAACTTGTAAAAGTAAACAACACATTGGTAAGTGCAACTAATTAATTACCTGACAATGTCAATTAAAGAACAATTAATAGCTTTGGAAAATAAAGCAACTAATACCTATTGAAAAAAGAAAATAGGTTATTACCTCATGCAATAAATTGTAAAACAAAAAAATAATTCTAAAATCTTGGGTGGGAGAATGGAGCAATATCACGGGCCAAATCCTTTGACTTTATTATAATAATAGATAGATTGAATAGTGATGCAAGGGGTTATTTCTTGATGTTTCTGTAATAAGAAGTGGGAATAACTATACTTTATTTTGGTAGAATTGAATAGTGACTAGTATGACACCCGTGCGATGTATGGATAGTAACATATATTTAATAATTATATTATTTATCAAATTTAAATAGTGCAAATAAATAAATATTGAAAATATTATATAATATTTTAATAATATTTATTATAATAAAGTATGTATAGTACATAATATTAAATTTTGCTCTATAATGACTTACTGTTGGGATTAAATAAAAAAAAAAATCATAGACTCATCACTTGTCAAACTACAAAAATATCATGAGCATACAAAGAGAATTATACCAAAAAATAATAAATAATAAAAATTCCAAAGACTGAACCTAATTAGTGAGTAGTTATTAGCAAGCTAAGGGAAATCTAAAAGCTAGAGTGCAAAGTGACTTTGGTAGACACAAAATTTGAATTTGAAAATTTGAATTAAATGTAGTCAGCACAACAAATAATGTATTTGGCTGCCCAAAAGTATTAGAATTTGCATCTACTAAACTATTACACTAAATGTAATATTAGTAAGTGGAGGCTATGTGTATTGTTTAAGGTTTCCAATATAATATATTTCTTTAGTAAATGCAGGCCATGCGTGTTGCTTCTATGATGGACTAGGGTCACCTTCCATGATGGATCCTAGTCCAAAATGACAGCGTTTTATATCAAATGTCAATTACTACATAATATTTAATAACATTATCATAGACTATGTTCATAATATTTGTTCTATATGTCAATAAATAAAACCTTACTATCCATAAACACTAAACTAAATGTACATTATATGCATTTTCATTCATATAGTAGGTTCATAATATTCATAAAATAAAGCTTAATGTACATAGACAGTATACTAAGAACGCATTACGTTTAGTAATATTCATCATGTACTATACTAATAACATTTGTTCTATATGTCCATAAACACTAAACTAAATATAAATCATATTTATTTACATTAACTCTATAGTAGGTTCATAATGTTTATAAAAACAAAATTTAATGTATATAAATATTACTACAGATGTATCATGTTTAATAACATTCATCTCAAACTATATTCATAATATTTAGAGAAAATTTCACTTTTGGTCCATTAACTATTATACATGAATCACATTTGGTCTTTGGCTATTAAAATTATATAATTAGGTGCATGACTATGTAATTTGTATCACATTTGGTCTTGTCTTTCAATTTCCGAACCAATTATTGTGGAAGTGCCACATTTGCTTCTTCTGGAATGAGCACTTCTGGAAGGAGTTCCAAACAATAGTTGGTCGAAAAATTGGATGACAGGACCAAATGTGATACAAATTATATACTCATGCACCTAATTAGAAAATTTTAATAGTCAATGACCAAATATGATTCATGTATAATAATCAGTGGACCAAAAGTGAAATTTATTCTAATATTTATTCTATATGTCTATAAACATAATTTGTAATGTCCAAAAATTTCAAACTAAATGTACATTATATGTATTTTCATTCATTTTATAGTAGGTTCATAATATTACTTCTATATGTTAATAAAAACAAAGCTTAATGTATATAAATATTATACTAAAGTAATGACTTTAATCACTTTATGTACTATAGATTTATTTAATATATATATATATATATATATATATATATATATATATATATATATATATATATATATATATAGTAAGGTTCAAGTGCGGCGATGTCCTTGGGTGCGGCGTCACCGATAGTTCAACAAATATACACCATCAACGTTAGGAAAATGCACCACAAAAACACGCACAAATTAGGTACGCATTACCAAAAATACACATTAGGTGTGAGTAAAAACACCATACAGTGTTCGGAAATACACCATTGGGGTGTAATGAGTTATATGATGTTTTTTTTAGGTCTGTTGTGTATTTTTTGGTTTTTTTTTTTTTGCATTTCATTGTGATGTGTTTTCCTTACACTGTTGGTGCATGTTGTTAACACTGTTGGTGTATTCTGAAATTCCGTCGCGCCTAAAGACATCGCCGCATTTGAACTTTTTCATATATATATATATATATATATATATATATATATATATATATATATATATATATATGAATGTCATTTAGAAGATATTAATTATAGCTTTTATGATATATTTTGTAAACATTAGTTTTATTTGTACAAAAAGAAAAAAAAAATCTCAAGTTTAAAAAAAATATATAAGAAGAAAAATAGGAATTGTTAGGTGCATGCATCAATTTCATTGGTCAAGTCTCATATTGAATTTTAATACTTAATTTTATATTTCTATATTTAGAAGATAATTTGAAGGGAAATTGAACTAATATTATTGGCCAAATCCCGTAGCTTTATTAGTATATGAGATGGCAGAATTGAATAGGGATGCAATGGGTTATTTCTTGATGTTTGTGTAATAAGAAATGGGAATATCTAATTATTTTGTCCTTTCAAAAAGAATCTAATTATTTTGTATTAAGTACTAAACTATTATTTCTTCAAAGTAGATATCCGCTTTCTGCTGATAAAGTTCAAATAATATCAAGAAATTATAAATTTGATAATAACTAAGAAATATGATCCTTTTAAAAATAAAAAAAAAAAGTGTTGCAAAGTAAAAATAGCTTGAGATTTGGTTCGGTGTAACTTTTGCCTCTCTAGAATCTAGTCCTTAGCTCAGGTAGTCAGGTACCGTATATGCATATACGGTTGGAATGCACAACTTACAAGCAAAGGATATGATAAACGGTAAAAACTTTTGTAAGACCGTTTCACAGATTTTTGTTTGTGAGGTGAATTATGTCAAAATGAAAATGTAATACTTATATTGGAAAATGTAATACTGATCAAGAATAAAATGTCTAACACTTATATGAGCACACTATCAGTCACTATGCATACTTTTGTTTCGTGTGTATTCTCAGCAGGTGTTGCTTGGATTTTCCTTGCATACTACACAGTTGGGTGTGGATAACTTTGCGACGTGGTTGGACAATGTTTTCTCTATATTGCAGCGTGATGATCTGGAGTTCCTTTCGGCTTTGTTATATGGTGTATGGAATGCCAGAAATTCAGCGTTGTGGGAGTCTATTATCCCTTTTGCAAGTAAGACGTGGCTGGCATCAAAGCACTCTTTGGCTTCCTAGCGCAAGTTCGCAGCGGTCGAAGAGGGGAGGTATCACACAGCAGTATCACAAGTGATCAGGCACCTAGCAATTCCTCGACGCACAAATGTGATTTTGATGCAGGCTTTTCTTCTTCTTCAGGCAAGGCAACCTACGGAGCAGTCTTGTACTCTCCGTCAGGTGAGTTCATTACCACCAAGAATGGACAATTACCTCTTTGCACTGGTTCGTTAATGGCTGAAGCTATTGCTTGTAAGGAGGTGCTTGCGTGGCTTAAAGGAAGGAAGATTTCTTCACTTCGTCTATAATCAGATTGTATGGATCTCTGCCATCATTTGAGTTCGTCTACTTCTGAGTTCAAATCTTATATCGACATTCCTATATTCTACTGCAAAACTCTTATGGCTTCTTTTACATCTTGTTTTATTACTTTTATTCCTCGTTCTTCTAATTTGTTAGCACATTATTTAGCTTCCGTTGCCCACTCTCAGGCTAACTCAATGTTTTGGGACTTTGCTCCCCCTGACTTTGTTTATGCTCTTTTGCATTAATATATCGCCTTTGTTTTGGTTTTCAAAAAAAAAAAAAAAAAAAAGAGGTATACATTCTTAATATCGATAAAGAATTCTAAAATTTGGGTTAGTAATTATACTTTTTCTAGGAACATAAGTGTATTAATTTTATTTATTTCATAATGACTTAATTTTTATTTTAAATATTTAAAATGATTTTGTAGTAAAACTTATTATTATTATTATTATTATTATTATTATTATTATTATTATTATTGTTGTTGTTGTTGTTGTTGTTGTTGTTGTTGTTATTGTTGTTGTTATTAGGACTAGTACTAAAATTCTTGTATTTGAGTCATAGTATGACTCCCTATTCTAGTCTTCCTATGATTTCTCTTGTATATATATTCCCCATGTTTGTACAGTTGTAATTAAGTTCATTCAATACTACAATTCATACAGTTCTCATCTGGTATCAGTTAAGCTAGGGTTTTCTCTGGCTCAATGGCTACCGAATATGTTCCATCATCCGAACGAACCATCTCCAACCCCGCTACCACGTCTTCCGCTAGCGTCGCCGTGTCTTCGCTTTCTACTACTCATCACTTTATCAGTATTAAGCTTACACATAAAAATTATCTATCTTGGAGAACTTAGGTCGTTCCGTTTCTTGATGGACAGGGTCTCATGTCGTTCGTCGATGGAACCAACCCCAGTCCGCCACTTTATCTGCCCATCGTCAAAGGTGGCTCGCCGGCACCCAATCCCGATTATGCAACATGGTTTCGTCATGATCGGGCTCTTATGTCCATGTTGATTTCTTCTCTCAGTGAAGAAGTTATGCACATCGTCGTTGGTCGTCGTACATCACTGGAGGTTTGGGAGTCAATAGAACAGTCTTTGGCTTCCGCATCTCGCGCCCGCTCGTTAAATCTCCTTGGACAACTACAATTCCTGAGCTAGGGGGATTCCACGGTTGCTGATTATATTGGTCGTGCCCGTGTTATTTTGGAGGATCTTGCTTTGGCCGGTAGACCGGTTGCTTGACGAGATGAATCTCTATGTGTTTCGTGGTTTACGATCGGAATTTCAAAATCTCACCGCATCTCTCTCGGTTCGTGGTACTGTAACCCTAGGTGAGTTGGTCGATTTTCTTGGTTCCCAGGAGTTTATTCGAGGCGTTCACCGCACAACGTGGCGGCGGTAACCATCACCGTGGAGGACGCGGTGGCAACCAAGGTGGCCGAGGGCAGAATTCCAGCGCACAACGTGGAGGAGGCGGTGGCCGAACACATTCTGGTAAAGGTGGCGGCCACCGCGGGCATGGCAGCAATGGTGGTCCGGCAATTGTTTGTCAACTATGTGGTCGTACGGGGCACTCGGCTATCAAATGCTACAATCGCTATGATCCTCCTCCACAAGAAAATTTGATGTATCAAAATACCGAGTCGCATCCTAATGACTCACAGACATGGATTCCTGATACAGGGGCCACCAATCATGTCACTTCGGATATTGCAGCCCTATCTACATCCGAGGAATACACGGGTAATGACACATTACGTGTGGGTGATGGTAAGGCGCTCTCTATTAGTCGTGTAGGTCATGCTTCTTTTAATACCCCATCTCGTTCCTTCCAATTGTCTAATATCCTTCATGTTCCCAGTGTCTCTACTTCTTTATTATCTGTTCATAAATTTGCGATAGATAATAAAGTGTTTTTTGAGTTTCACCCGTCTTTTTTGTTGTGAAGGATATCAACACCAAGGAAATTCATGGGGGTCTCTACAAGCTCCTAATTACAACGCCATCTCCCTCAATTTTCCTTACAGCTCACACCTCTCCGTCAGTGTGGCATGATCGTTTAGGACATCCACATCTTTGTATTTTACTTCGTATTCTTCGGTCGTGTCCGGTTAGTGGGTTAAATAATTCGATTCGATGTAATCCTAGTTTGTGTAATGCATGTCAAATGGGTAAATCCTCTCGATTCCCATTGGCACGTGTTGAGACATCCAGTTCTAGTGTCCTTGATTTGATATACACAGATATTTGGGGTCCAACTCCCTTTTTGTCAATTAATGGCTATCGTTATTTTGTTATTTTTGTGGATGATTATACTTGTTACACTTGGTATTTTCCCATGAAATTAAAATCTGATCTGTATGCCATCTTTCATAAATTTTGTACTATGGTTTAACGATTTTTTTTAACACAAAAATTAAAGCCGCTCAATCAGATCTAGAAGCTAAATACAAAAAATTGCATCATTCCTTTACTGAGTTAGGTATCCTTCATAGGCAATCATGTGCCTAAACTCATGAACAAAATGGTCGTGTCGAACGAAAACACAGACACATTGTTGAAACAGGTCTGGCTCTTCTAGCCTGTGCCTCTATCCCATATAAATTCTGGGATTTTTCATTTGAAACTACAACTTATTTAATTAACAAAATGCCTTTTGTTGTATTAAATAATCTCAGTCCACACTTTAAAGTGCATAATTCTAATCCCTTTTATTCTTTTATTCGTGTCTTGGGGTGTTTGTGTTACACATATCTCAGGCCATATAATCGTCACAAATTCTCGTTCCGGTCCACCCCATGTGTTTTCCTAGGTTATCCTGAGTCGTTTCGGAGGTATAGATGCATGGACTTACAGACTAACAAGATTTATGTGTGCAGGCATGTAAGGTTTGAAGAAACAGTTTATCCTTTTGCTACTAAAAATACTGTGCAGTCATCTCCACTTGAGAAATTATGTCCGTGGGCTGAGTCAGTTCTTCATCCCACTGCGATTTCATTGCCTGTGGTCGTCCTACCCAGCACCGCCGGTAGTGATTTGGACTCCTCTCTACCACCGCCCACTGCTGTTGTCGAACCATCTGCCTCGCCGGACCGAGAGCTGCCTGTTGAGGCCGTCCAGCCCGTCAAACGCCCACGTCGGCGTCCTCGTGGGAAAATGATCAAATCCACAGTTCGGAACCATGAGATGCACACTCGTAGTCAGTCTCGGGCTCCACCTTCTATTTTAATGGTTCAGGTTTGTCCTTCGGATCCCACTTGTTACACACAAGCTGTTAAACATTCAGAATGGTGAGAGGCTATGGATCAGGAATTTAATGCCCTACTACAAAATCAAACTTGGCAACCTGTGCCATCTCAGTCAGACATGAACATCATTGGGTGTAAATGGGTTTTTCGTACCAAACGAAAAACTGATGGTTCCATTGAAAGGTATAAGGCAAGACTTGTAGCAAAAGGGTTTAATCAAGTGCCAGGTCATGACTTCTTTGATACTTTTAGTCCAGTGGTTAAACCAACCACAGTCAGGTTTCTTCTTTCTATTGCTTTATCTTCTAGGTGGACTATTAAGCAATTGGATGTTCATAATGCTTTCTTGAACGGTCATCTCTCTGAAACTGTGTATATGAAGCAACCACCTGGATATATTGATGCTTCCTATCCAAATCATGTATGTCTGCTAAAAAGGTCTCTTTATGGATTAAAACAGGCTCCCCGAGCTTGGTTTAATCGTTTGCACACCTTTTTACTGTCTATTGGATTTCAGGCATCCAAAACAGATGTGTCTCTTTTTTATTACTCACAGGAATCTGATTGTGTATTTCTATTTGATTTTGTGGATGACATTCTTATGATGGGAAGCGATACGAATCTCGTTCTTCAATTAGTTTCAAAACTTTGTATTACATTTAAAATCAGGGATCTTGGTGAACCAGATTTTTTTTTCTTGGAATTGAGGCAATTAAATAAAATGATGGGATTTTACTTTGCCAACAGAGATACATGCAGGATATTCTAAAACGTGCTGGAATGACAGACTGCAAGTCCTTGTCCACCCCAATTCCCACGTCAAAATCCATCCCCATTGACGCAACTCCACATGATGATCCTACACAATACAAGAGTTTAGCGGGTGCATTACTGTATTTAACCATCACTCGTCCCGATTTATCCTTTGCAATCAATCAGTTATGTCAACACATGCATGCACCTACAGCTACTCATTGGGAACAACTAAAGGGAGTATTACGGTATGTCAAACGAACTGTTAATTTCGGCCTACGAGTCAGGAAGTCATCCTCAAGGGAAATTCATGCCTTCTTTGATTCTGACTGTGTCGGCTGTCCGGAGGATAGAAAATCACAAGTGGCTTTGCTGTTTTTCTTGGGTCTAATCTAGTATCATGGGTCTGCAAGAAACAAAGAACTGTTGCTAGATCTTCTACTAAGGCTAAATATAAAGCTTTAGCAGATGTTTGTGCTGAAGTGATTTGGATCATGTCTCTTCTGCGTGAAATCCGTGTTACAAGGATCTCGGTTCCCAAATTATGGTGTGATATCTTGGAGCTACATATATGTGTGCCAACCCCATCTTCCAACGCCGATCGGCGGGCCAACACTACCGTAGAATATTAGGTTAATAAGGCAAAGTAACTGAAAAAGAGGCAGAGTAACGGGATGTTATTCAAGAATCCGACGCTCTACACGGTGACCCCGGATGGGTATTTATACAAGAGAATAGATCCTTCATATGGTAAGAAGGGAGAAAAAATAACTAAACAAGCTCTGGAATCTACCATAATTAATGCGGTAACTGTCTAAACTGAGAAAAGGAAACTACTTGCTGGACAAGGAAAGGAATCTCCGTAGAATCCGTCATTAACCGCCTCTGGAGCGCGCACTCCATCGGGGACACACCAACTGCCTGGCGGGGTGGCTAAGGCACCCAGATAGGGATATACCGACTACCGAGCCTGGTCACCCTCCTAAGCCAGCCAGAGACCCTGACTAGGACCCACCCACTGGGCGGCCTGGTTTCCCGGGTGTTTGTGCTGCTGTTGCTGACGAGAGATGCGCTTCCTCTTGAATTGCTAAGTGCTCTTCTGCAATCGGGCCTGGCCACTCTTCACGCTCCGAGGCTGAGTGCCGGATTAAGGGTATCTATCAATTATTATTATTATTATTATTATTATTATTATTATTATTATTATTATTATTATTATTATTATTATTATTATTATTATTATTGTTATTGTTATTGTTATTGTTATTGTTATTGTTATTGTTATTGTTATTGTTATTGTTATTGTTATTGTTATTGTTGTTATTGTTGTTATTGTTGTTGTTGTTGTTGGTGTTGTTATTGTTATTGTTATTGTTATTGTTATTGTTATTGTTATTGTTATTGTTATTGTTATTGTTATTATTATTATTATTATTATTATTATTATTATTATTATTATTATTGTTGTTGTTGTTGTTGTTGTTGTTGTTGTTGTTGTTGTTGTTGTTATTATTATTAAGTCCCCAATCCACAAGTAGCGATGACGAAGAAGATGAAGAAGACGGCGTGGGGTTAACTCGTTTCTCGATTTGCGTATGTAGTCTTTTCCCTTGTTGTTGTTTTTTTTTTTTTTTTTGAGTTAATACCAGTTGCGGTCCCTCGACTAGCGTAATTTACTTAAAAAAAGTCCTCTATTCATTTTTTTGCTCGACTTAGTCCCCTAACTACTATTACATTATCATGTTAGGTCCTCTGTTGGGTTGACCATCAAATCCACAGACAAAGTTGTCTTTCCAAGCATATATATTGATGGGGAATATATCTCGGGTTCAGGCTCCCCGTACGCTCCGCGCTCCTGTTTGGGTCGAGGTCAAACGGTTCGGGTCAGGGTTAGCGGGTCAACCGTTGGGCCTATATAAGGGTCATTGACCCTCCATTTTAGGGGTTCTTCCCACACTCTCCCCTCTCTCTACAAGAACACAATTATGAATAAAAGAGTATTTGAGATATTTCCTCTTGTCTACATACATCACTGTTCATACATACACGGGAATATACCATATCATATATATATATATATATATATATATATATATATATATATATATATATATATATATATATATATATATATATATATATATATATATATATATATATATATAAAAGATGCGGATCAAATGCGCAGGAGGTCTTTAGGTAAAATATAGGGTTAAGTCTCAACCATAGATGTAGTCCAAATCAACAGTCCACACACACACACACACACACACACACACACACACACACATATATATATATATATATATATAATATATATATATATATATATATATATATATATATATATATATATATGTATATATATATATATATGTATATATATATATATATATATATATATATATATATATATATATATGTATATATATATATATATATATATATATATATATATATATATATATATATATATATATATATATGTATACACACACACACACACACACACACACACACACACATATATATATATATATATATAAAAGGTGATGATCAAGTGAGGACTTAACCTTAGGTGAGGACGTAAGGACTAATCTAGACCATTAAATCATAATAAAGCATGGCTGAGATTAAAAGAAACAAATCACACGGATTAAGGAAACAAATCCATTTAAAATATTAAAAAATATAAATTTATGGGTAAATTAGTCATATTAGAATCTGTGCATTAATACAAAATATTGTGCATTCCTATACAGAGTATTGTGCATCGATAAGTCTATAGTTGTGCATTCAAACACCAACTAAAAATCCTACAGTTGACATCTCAATGTCCTACGATGCCTTGAACTATGTGCATTAATGCACAACTCACCAGCCTACAGTGCATGATTGTAGTATATTTTCAAACAAATAAACTCGGAGTAACAAGTTATCGATCCACAGGGAAAATGTTTTATTAAGCACTAGCTACTAATTTATTATATGAAGCTAATCCTAATGAAAGACATAGATGGTTGCAATAAATAAATAAAATAAAGCAATGATTCAGGGTAATGAAAACAATAGAGAGAGACTGGGATTCCTGGGATTCAAGTGTTTAATTCCCTAGTGCCTAACCTAATGTAATATTAAATCTGGGTTTAACAAGTGTGAGGATGCAAGGTGGTATAGTGCTACTCACGTAGTCACTAACACTAATGAATATCCACTCCCGTGGTATAAACACTCAATAAGAACAAGAACATGCATCATAATAAATCCCTAACTACTACCATATCCCGATACGCAATAATCAAGAATTAAACTCTCTAACAAAATTACCATTTCCCAAGGTGCACCAGTTAGGTGCAATTGTGCGTGCCTTAAATTATGTCCAACTCCCGTTGTGACACAAAGATAGCAAACAGAGCAAGTAACTATGGCCACTAATTACAAGCATCAAACAATATAATCACAATTGCAACACAAGTTTAAAACCTAAATAATAATATATTAAAGAATCTAAGAGTTCAGGCACATAGGTTCATAAACACTTTCACCCAAGAATCTCTAATGGAACATAGCCAAGCATGGCTAAATTATACATAGAAAATATATAAAAGAATTACAAATTATCAAGAGAGTACAAGATTGAACCAGACAATTTTCCCAAATCTCCCTAGTCTTCTTCTTGATTCCCAAGATAACTTGTGGCTCTTGATTTCTCTCTTTTTTGTCTCCAAAGATCTCTGAATGTCTATTAGGGTTGGAGAAGGTGGGATTTTATAGCTAAAAGCCTAGAACCAATCCCGATGAAAATAGGAATTTTGTGCGAAATTGGACTGAAATTACATCACGGGCCGAAATCGGAATTGCAACCTCTTTTTATTTTAATATGTTATTAGTGTTGTAAGAATATTCAGAAATAGAGAGATAAGGAAGAAAAGGAGAGGATCATCTCATTCATCCATGTGTTTCCTTCTATACAACATACAATATATGACAATACATATATAATACAAAAGCCATAATGATGGTATTAATAATGACCGTTACATCCGTTATAGAAATAATGTCCACTTATGATATATTTATAACACTCTCCCTTGGACATTATTTGACCACGATCTTGTCTCGTCAAAAACTTGCTAGGAAACCTTGTGGGAAAAACCTAGACAAGAAAAGAGTACAATAGAAAATATATTCATGTCTCATTAAAAACTTCACTAGGAAAACCATGTGGGAAAAATCTAGTTGAAGAAAAGAGTACATGATATATGTAAAAACATATATTGTATTGGTCGCTCATTAAAAACCTTAACTTAAGAAAACCCTGTGGGAAAAACTTAGTTAAGGAAAAAAGAGTACAACCATGAGCCTTCAGGGCGCAATCTGCATAATCTTTAGGATTTTGGGGTTTGACCATTAAAGCAATTATTTTGCAACTTTTCTCCATTGTCATTACTATATCATACTCATGCCTCGTTAAAAACCTCATTAGAAAAACCCAGTGGGAAAAATTGGTTGAGGAAAAGAGTGCATGTTGTATGTGTATTCTTGTTTTAGATTAACTGCCTCATTAAAAACCTTATATTTATAGAAAAACCCCGTGGGGAAAAACTTAACTAAGGAAAAAGAGTACACCCGTTAGTCATCGATCAATCTTCAGGATTGATTCATGTAAAAATATACTCCCCCTCAAGATAACAATCTTGATGTTCTATACGTTAAATTTCCAAAATGTATAGAGGAATTTTGCAAATAAATATGTACAATTGTCAATGGAACGAATATACTTTATACGGAGTAATAATCTCGTGACTCTTCTGGAGCTCACGTGGGTATAATATTGACACCATAATATCTTTAGTCAAAAGATTTCATTATATATTATTTTATCAATTGAGTGATACAATCTTTATTGTCCTTTTATAGGACAATGGGGGTAAATATAGTACAACCAGTTTTGGGACTTGGCATTATGGGGATACAAAATAATAGCCAGTACCCACGTAGCCCATTATATATTGTTTTGTATAAATATCTAATCAAAATCAAGTATTGGCTAACTGGTGTATAAAAAAATTCTTCAAGGAAAAACTCGATCTTCAAGTCGAGGTAATACTTATAGCTTTCACAAGCTTTTATTTCAAAAATCTCAGTCTTTAAACCTGAATTGACATCATCAAGCTCTCTTTATATATTTCATTGATGTTTACACCATCAATATTGACTAAGATAATAGATAAGTCCATTATCAACTCTTTATTGAGCACATATTATTCCTTCTATATGAGGATAATAACCCCATTCGCAACTCTTTAAAGAGTAAATAATGGCACATAGATACATATTCCTTCTTCGGGAGGAAAATACTTAGCCAATTCTTAATTATTTCAGGTCATATAAAGACCTTAATATTTTAATGTTGTGATTTTCACTTTTTCTCATTTTGAGAACTTAAAATCCTTCAGGGACTTTAGTTGCATATCTAAGTTTATTATCTTGCCAACAATATCATGTATCGGAACTTAATGTCATTTACCGTGGGAGAGTTTATTTGATTAGAATCAATCAAGGGTATCTGCGTGAACCCATAAGGCTACAAACTCACTTCATATCATATCACCTCGTTATTCTTCTTTCTCTTTCATGCACACACCCATTTGTAACCTTCAAGGTTAACGCTCAATGGTGTATTGTTATAAAGAGAATTTTACATTTTAGCGAGTCGAGCTATGCCTTAATTGCTCCTTTATATGTTAAATTAAATAGTCATGACACTTCCGGTGCCTAACTCTGGATCCAGATTATCATATAACGAGCAACTTGCAATTGTGTTGTCGACAACTATAACCTTTTTATAAATGTCTCCCATGCATATTTGTAAAAGTTAATGGCAATTTTCTAAAATAATCACATTCTAGACATTTCCCAAAGATATTTTGATCTGGTCGTTCCGCATCCCTAGTATTACGTTTGTTTGGTGCACCTATAAATTTTACCAGGGTTTTTCGTCATCTGAACGAACGTCTGCAGGATATAATTATTCAAGCTATTTCAAGAGTGACAATGTTTATTTACTAGATCTAGTATTATGATTCATATCTCTTTCAGCGATAGATCTCCTACAGTTCTAGTGTCAAGGAGTATCGGTAGATATATTTGGTCCAAGTTTGGGGAAGGTATATGGGACCTAGTCACTCTTTTTATGATCAGTATGATCAATAGATATATTTGGTAGATTATTTGTATGGACCATATTTTGTATGTTATAAAATAATGTACATTTAGTACAAAAATAATGTACTTTTAGTATATTAATAATGTATATTATATTTAGAGAAAGTACATTATTTGAATATTGAAAATACATTATTTTATAGAGTTAATACCACAAATGGTCCTCTGACTATTTGGATAGTACTCCTTTTAGTTCTCGACTTTCAATTCGACCAAAACACATACCTTAACTTTCATTTTTGACTATAAATAGTCCTCCGTTATAATTTTGTCAAAATGGATGTTAAATCTAAGGATAATATCGTCAAATCTAAGCATTGGCGCTAATAAAAACAAGTGTCTTCGTAGTCGCCGAAAAAAATGTCTACACTATCCGCATCTCTCAGCACCATTTGCCAGTTCTTTGATCTGTTGGCCAGACAAAGTGGTGGTTGTCCCGAACGAAACAAATACAACGGAGTTTCACGGCTGGTTGTTGAGCCAGTAGAGGGTTTGTGGCAAATTATGCCCTGGAAACGTGTTCACCATGAATGGTGAACACGGATCCAAAGGGTGCCCTTTTTAGGAAAAAAGAAAATAATTTCACTAATGTGGTGTTAACGGCGCGCGTTTGGTCAGATTATGAATTTTCTGTTATGAGATTATGAATGTATTGTAAATTCATAATCTCATAACAGAAAATTCATAATCGCATAAAAGAAAAATATTTATTAAATTATGAATTTTCTGGTATGAGATTATGAATTTACAGCTATGTAATTATGAATTTTCTGTAAATTCATAATCTCATAACAGAAAATTCATAATTTCATAAGAGAAAATTCATAATCGCATAAAAGAAAATTCATAATCTCATGAAAATTCATAATCTCATAAAAGAAAATTCATAATTTCATAACTGCACATTCATAAATCCATGGATTTATGATGGATTTGAATGTAAAGAATTTTTATATTGGAGAAAAATAAATACAATATAACTAATGAAATTATTTCTCTTATTTAATTTATTGATAATGAATATTTTTTTTTAATAAAGACATTGTAGACACATAATTCTATATTAAAGAAATGCATATGTATTATTTTTTGTTGTAGCTACTAAATATATTATTTAATTTAATAAGCGTAAAATAAAGTACTAATTATGCCAACTTCTATTGGGATGAGGTTCGAATCTAAGACCTTTCTTATTGAAATCAATGACTAAGTTAACGGTGAACTAACATAAATTAACGGAAAAGATAATATTTAACGGAAAAGTTAACGGATAATCATATTTATTAAGGATAATACTAGTTTTTTACGCGCATTGCACGATTGGGATAATGCCCAATGTTTTGTTTTTTTTTTTTAAAAAAAATAAGTACTTTAAAGTATATCAAGGCAATATTATATTGGAATTGCTCGATCATGCATAGATAATTAAATGTTGAATTTTTGTATTTAAATAGGCAATTCTAAGTTTACAAATGCAAGATAATATAGTCAAGATTGACTATAATTGTCAATAAAATAATTGTATAGGTATGATTGAAACCAAATACGAGACATAAGGGAGACCAAATAAAAATTGGGGCATAAAATATTAAATATATATACTAATATTGAAGAGCTAACTGCTTATTGTCAAACAAGGACATTGCGAGGTAGTTTCTACTTCAATTTATTGTGCGATTTGAATACTCTAATCTTTTTGTCAATAAATCCCCCAAGTAGTTAATATGATTGGCTTAATTTTATTTTTTAAAACAATTATTATTATTATTGTTGTTGTTGTTGTTGTTGTTGTTGTTGTTGTTATTATTATTAAATATATGTATATCCTTTGGTCAGTTTACATGTTAATCTAAACAACTAATTTTTTTAAATATATTTTTACCAACCGTTGATATAATTCGCTGGTCAAATCCGCTAATATAATCCGCTAACGCTAACTGCTGATTGTCAAACAAGGACATTGCAAGATAGTTCTCACTTCAATTTGTTGTGTGATTTGAATACTCTCTTTGTCAATAAATCCCTTGAGTAGTTAATAAGATTGACTTTATTAATTATATTTTTTAAATTTTTCATGGTATTAATAAAATACTTGGTAAATAAATATATAGCATTATTTTGAATTATAACTTTGATATTTAATTAAAAAATAGTGCACAAAAAAAAAATAATAGACAACGTAGTGAATATAATCAATTGATGAATTTAAATGTAAAGAATTTTTACATTGGAGAAAAATAAAGACAATATAACTAATAAAAATATTTCTCTTAATTAATTTATTGATAATGAATAATTTTTTTTAATAAAGACATTATAGGGACAATGTAGCGAATATAATCAATTGATGAATTTGAATGTAAAGAATTTTTATATTCGAGAAAAATAAATACAATATAACTAATGAAATTATTTCTGTTATTTAATTTATAGATAATGAATAATTTTTTTTGAATAAAGACATTGTAGACACATAATTCTAAATTAAAGAATGCATATGTATTATTTTTTGTTGTAGCTACTAAATTATTACGGAGTATTTAATTTAATGAGAGTAAAATAGAGTACTAATTATGTCAACTTTGATTGGGATGAGGCTCGAACCTAAGACCTTTCTTATTGAAATCAATGAGTAAGTTAACGGTGAACTAACAGAAAAAATAATATTTAACGGAAAAGTTAACGGAAAATCATATTCATTAAGGATAAATTAGAAAATCTTAACGAAAAATTAAAATCTGATCAATCTGAGTCATTCATTTGATTAAAAAATTTAACCACCATTTTTTCTACCTATTATAGGCCTAACTCTCTTGGGCTCTTATTAGTATAGTAGAAATTAGAAAATCTCAAGGAAAAATTAAAATTTGATCAATCTGAGCCATTCATTTGATTAAAAAATTTGACCGCCATTTTTTCTATCCATTATAGGCCTAACTCTCTTGAGCTCTTATTAGTATAGTAGATAGATAGTATATAATGAATGGTTTTCAAAAAAAAAAAAAAAAGGTAATATAATGAATGTGATAATGTGACGTGATTATTAGGACTCTATGTATATGAGTCTGTTTAAAACTTCTTATCCTTGTCACACTGTGACTCTCTACTTCTTATCATTGTCACACTGTGACTCTCTATTCTATATATTCACATCATCTGATCTCATTGTAATTAAGTTCAGAAAATATAATACAATCAGTTCTCATCTGGTATCAGTTAGCTAGGGTTTTGTGATTCATAAAATTAAGAAGATGCAGCGCTGCGATGGCAACCTTAATTACCGTGGAGGTCAGCAACGTGGCTTCGATGATCCGTGTCAAATCTGTAAAGGTTTCGGCCACACAGGAGTCAATTGTTTTTGGCGCTATGATGATCCGTGTCAAATTTGTAAACGTTTTGGTCACACGGGAGCCAATTGTTTTTGGCGCTATGATGATCCATGTCAAATTTGTAAACGTTTTGGTCACACGGGAGCCAATTGTTTTTGGCGCTATAATGATCCGTGTCAAATTTGCAAAAGTTTCGGTCACACGGGAGTCAACTGTTTTCGGCGATATTCAGGGGCTCCGGGTTCTCAGGCTAATTTGGTGTTTCAGAATGGTTTAGTTGCTAAAACCTCGTCAAATTCTCATACATGGGTTCCGGACACTGGAGCCACAAATCATGCAACTCCGAACATCGCTGCCCTTTCTACATCGGAGAAGTACACTGGTAATGACACTTTACGTGTCGGTGACGGTATGGGTTTATCTATTAGTCATGTTGGCCATGCCTCTTTTAATACCCCTTCTAGATCATTTACATTGTCTGATATACTTCACGTTCCGCGTTTGTCTAATTCTTTATTATCTGTTCAGAAGTTTGCATCCGATAATAAAGTCTTTTTTGAGTTTCACCCCTCCTTTTTTGTTGTAAAAGATATCAATACCAAGGAAATACTTCTTCGGGGCAATAGTTCGGGGGGACTATACACACTTTCATTACCTAGTTCGTCTCCATCAGCGTTTATTTCCGCTCGTGCCTCAGCTTCCACTTGGCACAATCGTCTAGGTCATCCTCATAACCGTGTTCTTAGCCATATACTTCGTTCTTGTTTGGTTAGTGGGTCTCGTGATAATATTCGTTGTCATAATTCTTTATGCAATGCGTGTCAATTAGGCAAATCTGCCCGTTTTCCCCTCCCCCATGTTGCTTCCTCTAGTTCTCAAGTCCTAGATCTTATTTACACAAACATTTGGGGTCCTGCGCCCACTTTATCTACTTCTAGCTTCCGTTATTTTGTGATCTTTGTGGATGACTATTCCCGTTATACATGGTTCTTTCCTATGAAATTAAAGTCTGATCTTTATGTCATCTTTGATAAATTTCGTACTCTTGTTGAGTGGTCCTTTAATTGCAAAATAAAGGCCATTCAGTCTGATTTAGGTGCTGAGTACAAAAAGTTGCATTCTTTGTTTGTTCAATTAGGAATTCAACATAGACAATCCTGTGCCTATACACATGAACAGAACGGTCGTGTTGAACGAAAACATCGTCACATTGTTGAAACTGGTCTGGCTCTTCTAGCTCATGCCTCTGTTCCTTTAAAATTTTGGGATTTTGCCTTTGAGACTGCTGTCTATTTAATTAACAGAATGCCATCTTCTGTATTAAATAACTCCAGTCCTCATCTCCTGTTACATAAATCCCCTCCTTCCTATCTTTTTCTTCGTGTCTTTGGGTGTTTATGCTACCCTCATCTTCGACCATATAATCGTCATAAGATGTCATACAGGTCTTCTCCATGTGTCTTCCTAGGTTATCCTGAGTCCTTTAGGGGGTACAGATGCATGGACTTACATACTAATAAGATTTACACATGTATGCATGTCAGATTTGATGAAGAAGTTTTCCCCTTTGCTACTAAAACTTCTTTGCAGGATCTATCTACTCCGTTTTCTGGACCTTGGGCGGAATCTGTTCTCAGTCACAGCACACCTATTCCTGCCGTGTCCAATGATGAGCTGCCAGAACCGCCGCTACCTGCTTCATTCGAACCAGCCGTGGATCCTGGACAGGCTGCCTCGTCGGGTGATCCTGTAGAGCCTGTTGCTCGCCGGCGAGGCCGTCCACGTGGGCGGTCCATCAGGCCCAATGTCCGCACTCACTCTATGGCCACTCGCAGCAACGCAGATGCTCCTCTTTTTGCTCTAGTAGCTCAAGTGCATCCCACGGAACCCACATGTTACTCTCAAGCTGTCAAATATCCTGAGTGGCGTGAAGC